TTGGTTTATAGTAGGGATGGCAATCGATTACAGAATTGCTAATCAGTTAACTGCAAGACGTTCTGACCAATTACCGGTTAATCGTATCAAATTGCACGTTTTCTTGACTATTGTTTTTCAGGTAGCTCTGTATATATACACAAATAGACCCAACTAAGACGATAGAAGTTAAAACATTCCATTAGTCTTGATTCTGGATCAGAAAAATACGGGTACATATTTTTTATTTAAATTTCAGTAGACAAGAAAAATTGAGAAAACCATGAAAAAAGCCTAAGAAATCTGATAACTTTCCAGAGCAGATCTCCCAAAAGTTTTTTCTGCATTTTCACTATGATAATCAAAACTACATGTGAACTCTATAGCCCTTAATTTACAATGTTTGTTTAATAATTACATGTAAATTGGATTGAAAACTGAAAACATCAAACACACCAATTTGCAGTGCTCAATGATTCAATGATTATACCCAACGCAACAAGTTGCGTGAGGTGTTTTTGACCCGTCAGTCAGTCAGTGTGTCAGTCAGTCAGTCAGTTCATCAGTCCTGTTTTTATACCCCATGCAACTTGTATAATGTTTTTGACACGTCCGTCAGTCAGTCAGTCCGTCAGTCCTGTTTTTTTGTCAGCACAACTCCTCATAAACCGCTGCACAGAATTTGGTCAAACTTTGCAGATATTTAGGACACAATGTGTAGATGTGCATATTACCAGGAAATTCCGATTCCTTTATTTTTTCTGGGAATTTCGGCACTTTTCAACTTAGATTTTTGGCCCTATCTTGAAGTTGGAAGTGAAGTTTGTTAGTGCAACTCCTCTTAAACCACTGCACAGAATTTGGTCAAACTTTGCAGATATTTAGTACACAGTGTGTAAATATGCATATTACCAGGAAATTCCGATTCCGTTATTTTCTGGGAATTTTGGCACTTTTCAACTTAGATTTTTGGCCATATCTTGAATATAGAGATGTACAGTTTGTTAGTGCAACTCCTCTTAAACCGCTGCACAGAATTTGGTTAAACTTTGCAGATATTTAGTACACAGTGTACAGATGTGAATATTACCAGGAAATTCCGATTCCATTATTTTTGCCTTAAGAGCTTTGCCTATTACTGAAGAAACTTTCCAGCTAGGTAATAAGGAAATCCACTGGAATCAGCTTTTGTAATGAAAGAATTTAATGTGAAATATTTTATGACCTTAAAAGACCCCTATTGATTTTGAGATCAAATTATTAATGATTTAACACACACACACACAAAATCTGGGATAGTTCTCACCCCCCCCCCCCCCCCCCTAAATATGGGTTTTTTTCCCTTAAATAATTTCATAAGTACAGTATATAAACAAATTCATATGACTACATCATAATTTTGTTTCTAAATAACAGTTTGTCAGCATAACTCCTGCACTGAAACAATTTCCTGAAACTTTGTAGGTATTTTAGACATAATGTATAGATTTGTATATTACCAAGAAATTTTGATTCCATTAATTATCTAGAAACTTCAGCCCAATTAAATTTGTAACATACAAAGATTTGAATGTCCTTATATGCAAGAAGTTTTGATGTGATGTTTTTTTGCAAGTAATGCCCCTTTTTGAATTATACTATATATTTAAAATGCACTGTGCTATTCATTACATGTTGCATTGTTGAGTTTTGGGGGAGCGTGGGGTATGTGAGCTTGCTCACTTTTTCTTTCATTATCATTACAGGACAGTCGGGGTAACGACATGGTGTTTTCACGGTAATTAACACTACATAAACTGACCAGTTACGCAACGGTCTCAATCTTGGAGATTCATAATTACATGTACGTCCAAATTCAATCCTTTAAATTCCAAATGATTATCCTTTGTGCAGAGATTTCTTTTTTTTTAAATAATTTTTTTTTTAAATGTGTTCAATTTAACAAAATAATATTTTATTTTTTCCGATTAACCAATTACAGATTTTCTAATTGATAGCCATCGTTCCAACCGAGTAATCAGTTAACCGGTTACAAATTGCCATCCCTAGTTTATAGTCATTGTCTAATCTGGGTCATTCATCAAGGTGATTGTTGATTTATCAATTAAATGTTGGAAGGTGGGGAGTGGGTGGGGGGTTTATACTATTTCACAATCACACTTTTTTAAACAGTCCAGTTCTAAGTTGTTAGGCATATCCTTGAAGATTAAAATTTAGAAATACATAGAATTTCCTTTGTGCATGTTGGTAACTTTTACAATATTTATGAACTTTATCTTCAGGCATCAACAACAGTATGTTCTACCAACAGTTGTGCTTCATTGGAGGCAGGCACAAAGATCTATCATTGCTGACTTAATGTCCACAGAACAGAGAGTTGGTGCTTGCTGGTGATGGACGCTCGGACAGCCCTGGTCATTGTGCTAAATATGTTGCATTCACTTTCATTGAAACCTAGCTGCAATAATGTAGTCCTCTTCGATTTTTTTTTGGGGGGGGGGGGGGGAGTGGGCTACAATTCCTTAGGATCTCTGTAATGGTGCAAGTGTGGGAGAGATTCACTACCGCACAGATTTCGGCTCAAATTATCAGTAAGTGGGTATTTTATTAACATATCCTACCTGAACTCATAAAATGTAATTATGCAAGACATGAATTGATTCAAAAATATACAGAACAATCCGTATATCGGTTATTTTTCACGTATGTCAACATCACAACTTGAATTTATCTGCCATGTTTACTGACCTTGATCAATTTTATTCTGGAACAACCAAAGAGAAATTGGAATCTAGGGGAGCGGATCGTTTAGGATTTCCCTTATTTTAAAGATACACATGCTTTAACTTGCGTCAGTTAAAAATAAAGTTGGAAATTTATTTATTTTGTTTACCAAATAAAGTTACGAAAATACTGTAAATTACACAATTGAAAATGAACGCATTAAAAAGATCTCAAATTATAATTTATTTTCCTTCTTGGAAATTAATGCCTCTATTTAAATTTATGCGTCATGTGACACCGTCTCTACTTTTAGATTGATAAACAAAAATGGCATAAAGAAAACGAGCTAGGTAGGCCGTTTGGTATACAAATGACTTTTGACATTGATGGCACACATCTAATGCTTAAAGATACTTATCTTGTAAAACAACCAGTATTAACCATCTACTCTGTAATGACAGATATTAACCTTTTATACATAATCGAAGTCAAATGCAACGTACCTCGTCCTCTATGATTTCCCACGGACATGCGTGTCTGTATACTGTTTATGCACTTCCTTCATCAATATTCATGAAAAAGCTGAATTCTTAATTGCAGATCTTGCTTAATTGTTATGTAATTACAATAACTTATTTAGTAAAACTTTGCGAAAAGTAATTATTTTTTATTACACTTCATGTTTCTCAAATCATTTCATCATTTTGTTTCACATAAAAAATCGCATTTATCAGTCTAGACGAACTCCAAAAACAGCATTTCCGGAAGTAAGAAATTGAGACAGAAAAAGACTCCAAAAAAAGTTCTTGCATGCGCAGACACACAAAAAAATGGCGATTTTTCAGCAAAAAATGATGGGTCTACAAAAACTGTCCGTGCAAAGTTTTGGGAAGTATGGCAATTATACCAGTACTCAGAAATGCTAAATAAAAGGCTTTGGAAGAGATCGTATTTGTCAGATTTTAGATTCTATTTGCAAATGATGAGATATTTACCTTCAAAGTCAACGTTTCAAGTCAGATCAATTACAGAGAAAATGATACGTTTTGAGAAGTAAATATGCATAATAAAAGATATATATATATATATATATATAAAATATATATATTTATATATGTGCAATGTTTCAAGTCAGATCAATTATGAGAGAAAATTAATATATGTTTGAGAATTAATTTTGCCTTAAAAAAAGGGAAATATATTTAAAATGGAACAATATATATTTTATCTGTTAAATTTTTTTACACATTTTACACATATATTATTATTTCAGTATTTTAATTGTGTTCAACATCTGAATTGAAAGCGTGAGTTCTCATCATCGTTATTTACCTATTTTTTTTATCAAATACGAACAGATATTATCATGAAAATATTTTTAAACCATTATCTATCAATTTGAAAACTTAAAAAAATCACTCTTTTAAAAAATTATAATGTCACAACAGGTCTTCTAAAAATGAACATGTTAATATCTCTGCTCCATGGTGAAAACTGCATTTTCTGATTAAATGAATACAATTTGGGTGTATTCAAAATAAAATTTAGGCATCTTTATTGTAGGAACGACATAAATTTTAAATCAAGGAGACAATATATTAATTAAAAAAATTAATTCTTACCGGCAGTATTGAATTCTATGTCATATATCCAAAATCACTATATAATGCAAGCGTTGGAAGTGATAAATAAGTCAATATCCATTATATAATTTTATAAGTTTAATTATTCATTCAACAAAAATTAAAATAAAGTCACAATGTACTAAATACAGAAATTTAGCAGTCGTATATTTGAGGAAAGCGAATGACTATTCATTCTTTGTTTACATCGGCCGCCATTTTGCCGCAATGCATGATGGAGCCAAAGACTTTTTTTGGAGTTCACGCCAGTTTTGGAGTTTGTCTAGACTGTTTATATAGCGTAATATATATCTTTAAGCATAAATATCACTGTTTATGAAAAAAATGTCACATGGAATGCTTTTATTTATTGATCTTTAGTGATATCATACAACACAAACATTTATCAACACCGACATTTACTTTATCAAGTGATTTTAAATTTCAAGTGCAAGTCTCTGTACATCATGCGAGAACTGTCATGGCTTCTGAGGAGAACGAATGGTAAACACGCAGATTTATTTTACTTGGTTTTCGTGTATAAAGGGCTATGATGTTGATATGAATAAAAATTCTGTCTTATTGGAAGTAAATTGAATGCAAAAACCATTTATTTTGCCTGCAGTCGACCGTATCTAAAAAATATATTTGCACCGTTACGGAGATGCAGTGGAATTGTAGCCCTCTCCTGAAAATATCAGATTAAAAAAAATCGGAGAGGGCTACATTATTGCAGGTAATTGAAACCAAGATCAACAAAGTTCTAGACATTCAACAAGTGCAGGTACTTTTATATGTTATGTTGATTTCTTTTTTTATCCTTTGTTTTAGTTTAGGAGGTAAAATTTTGATATTTTGAATTTATTCTGTTTGAATTTCTTATTTATAATTAGAGTTGTTGCTTGAGAATTTTTTGGTGGCACAAACTTGACATGTCAATCCAATGCTTAAATCTTTTCAGATAAATTTTTATTTCTATTGAAAACAATACATATGCATTGAATATATTGTTTATTTAATTCTAGGAAGGGTTTCTAAAATTGTCTATCAGTGAATGACGGAATAAGAATTATTAATATATATGTACAAAAGTCTCCAATCAAATTAAAAACTTGATGGCCATAACTCACTTTCAAATATAATGTATGTGCTAAAATAGCTTCAGCATAGATTCAGTTGTTAAATTTGAAAAAATTCAAAGAATTGTTGAAATTCAATATACTATTGAGCATCGTTGATTAAACTGAATGAATTAAAACTGTCATTTCATTCTTATCCTAGTTTTGGAGGGAAGGGGGGGGGGGGATGTAAAAAGTTATTTATTCTGGCTAGTAGAGTTTTGCCATCACTAGCCTAAATGGGCTTGTCCTGAAGTTTTTGGTGCATACTGTTTGTGTTGAAGAGGTTTTGGAATGATACTTAAACCTTTGTTTTTTTCCTAGACTTGTTTTTGTTCACCTTTATTTTCTGGAACAGCTACATGTATATCTTAATCAGGTATGTTTGTCTAAGTTATGCATGATTTCCTCTTGAGTGATTTGGAAGGACTACAGAATAGTTATTGCTATTTTTTTGAATAATGTGTATTTTTAAAAGTAAAAAAAAAAAAAATCAAGTTTCCTCCATTATTCATAAAGACATAATACATATAGAAGGAAAAATTTATTGAAGGTGTATTAGAATACATGTTTGATATTTGTTCTATTTTTTCTCAGAGTAATGAAGTTCCCAATAGTTCATGATGTGAGCATGAAGGATTAAAAAGAAGTGTTAGATTTCTGAAGGATGAGGGGTTGCAGTTAGACACCCTCATTACAGACAGACACAGACAGAATAACAAGTGGATAAAGGAAAACCTTGATGGAACAAACCACTTCTATGACATCTGGCATGTTGCCAAGGGTATGTACTTATAAATGAAGAAAAATTAAAGTGAACAGTATGGATATATTTAAATATTAGACATTTTTAAAAGTGGTGTGAAATATTTACATACAGGTATTATTTAAAATTAGATCCTTTGAGTTCAACGTATGAATTAAATTTGTAGGCACATGGAAAAAAACTGGATGCTTTGGCAAAGGTCAAGGATTGTAATGTTGGTAAATGGAAGCAGTCCATCACCAATAATATGTATTGGTCAGCAGGTTCTACACCAGATAACGATGGGGATATGATTGTTGCCAAGTGGGAGTCGGTTATCCAGCATGTGCAAAACATCCACACCAACCACCCAAATGCTCTTTTCCAAAGTAATGTCTTCATGATCCCCTGGAAGAAGATGATGAGCAGGAGATAGAGTGGCTTAATCCAAGTATTAATCTAATCAAATATCAATTTTTAACGTATTTAAATCATTCTGTAAAAAATTGTGTCAGTCATCCAGAATAAATCACAAATGAAAGAAATACACATTTATATATTGGAATTTTTAGCAAGCAAAGCCTTTGAACAATTGGAAAAGATTCTCTTAAACAAGACCCTCTTAAAAGACATTTCAAGACTTTCCAGTCAGGAGTAGACATCTTCCTTGGAGGCTTTTCATAGCTTGATACTCCATTTTGCTCCCAAGAATACAGCCTTTTCTTATCTTGGAATGTTATGTCGGTGAGTAAAATGCACTAGCACATTCTACCATCTAAGTAGCCATATGATGAACATCACTGTTTTAAAGCCAACTGGCACTTTCTATTATTTTGAATTGCTTATCATTGGCCTGTACAAACCAAGATAGATACTATGTGCTTTAATTAATTTGTGATTTTTTTTCCCAAAATAACCAGACTCTACTTGGCTGGACTCCATTATGATGAGAACTCTGATCATGACCAAATGTTCAACAGACAAGGTGAAGCTTCCTTCACCATCAGATACCCAAAAGGAAGGAAAGGACAAGCTGTTGTACATCCTGACAAAACTAAGCCTACTTATGGTATGGGATCATGTTAATGAAACTTTCAGTTGATCTTAAATACATGTATTCAATGTGTCAAGAATTATTTCATATAATAATAAAGAGTCCTCATTGTTGTGTTAAGCTACTATATCACCTGATATTTAAAAAAATTCATTATTGAAAGAAATAGTAAGCTGAAAAACTCTGTATTTCAGATTACGCCATGCATCTCCAACAAGAATTGGTTGATCAATATATGCAAGGGCCAAGCCAACTACCAGATTCCATCAGTAATCTACGTGCTAGGGTACCCAACTGTCTGTCAGCAAATGCAGATCAACCGGACAAGGCAGAGGCAGTGGAGATGTTTGTGTCCAGATATAATAGATGACACTTGAAACATTTATTTGTGTCTGTTAATTGTGATTTGTACTAATCTTACTTCATTGTTACAGCCACATAAAATTGTTAACATATTTTCACATAATGAGAATTTCATAGAAACCTTTGTGCTCAAGGCATGAATAAACATCTTGTTGAGTACCAAAACCAGTATGTACATGTATTTTATGCCTTTGAGGTCTGAGTTGTAAGAAGTTGTAAGAAGATTTTGTTAGCTCTTCTGAGCCAAAGGCTCAAAGAGCTAATGCTATGGCCAATTAAGCGGTGTGCATAAACTCTTTAGAATATGGACCATAACTCAAGAACCCCTTGGCCAATTATTGTCAAATTTGTCACGGGGTATCCTTGGCCCAAGGGCTCCCGTTTATACTTAAACTAGGGATGTGACCCTTAAACAAGTGGAGATAATTAGGAAAATAGAAAAAAAGTACTGGTTGCAAAAAAATCTTCTTCTCAAGAACCACTGGGCAGATTATCACCAAACTTACACACAAGGATGAGGATATGTTGTAGATTAAAATTTGCATGGGGATTTACCCTGGGGCAAGGGGCGTGGTCTCAAGGTCACTTCAAAGTTGACCAAAAATTACATTTTATTAAAATGTTGATATTTCGCTTACTATAAGAACTAGGATCATCAAATCTTTTCAGTTGATGCATCTAGGGACCTCATATCATGTTGACTCAAAAGTAGGTCATGGTGACCTACTTTTTAAATTTTGCGGCCATTCGTTTTCAAAATGATTTAGAGGCAGATTTTGAACAATTTTAGGCCTATGATCATCAAACTTTGTCAGTTGATGTATCTTGGGTCCTCGGAGTACGTCGACTAAAAAAGTCATCAAACTTTGTCAGTTGATGCATCTTGGGTCTTTCGAGTAGGTCGACTGAAAAGTTGGTCACCGTGACCTACTTTTGAAAAATTATGGTTTTAATTAAATATTTCAGGTACTAATTAGCTTAGTATCATCAAACTTTGTCAGTTGATGCATCTTAAATTGGGTCCGCAGAGTAAGTCGACTGAAAAGGAGGTCACTGTGACCTATTTTTGAAATTTTATGGCTTTATTTAAATACATCAGGTACTTGATTGTGATTGTGACTATGACCTACTTTCGAAATTTTATGGTTATAATTTTAAAAATATTTTAGGTATTAATTGGCTTAGAATCATCAAACTTAGTTGATGCATCTTGGGTCCTCAGAGAATGACAAGTGATAAGTAGGTCACCATGACCAACTCTCAGGTACTAATTAGCTTAGAATTATCTTGGGTTCTCAGAGTGTTTCATCTAAAATGTAGGTCATGATGACCTACCTTTAGAATTTCAAGGGTTTAACTAAATATACAGGATACTTAGAGGCTTCAAATAGAGGTGATAGGTTGTACAGTTTATCAGAAGAGCGATTCAAGGCCCTTGGGCCTCTTGTTGAGAAATGCTACACTGGACAGTTTTTTTGTTTTTCTTTTTTAATTGTTAGAATGACCTTACCTAGGTTTCTAGTTATTTGGCCACTCAAAGTTTTTGTATTGTCCATCATTTGCAGGAAATGCATTTCTAATGCGTGACATTACACAGGCTGGTAAAGGAGTATGGTTGTTCTTTCCCAGGAAACCCCAACACCACTAATTGACGATAAGCCACATATCTAAACTTCCTAAAATATTACACATTTTTTGTGAAGTTTGTGCCTTAAAATATAAAATGTGTTTGATATTCAACCATGGTTGAATGTTAATTCGTAATACGTATTTCATGGTATGGTTTTATTTATTAAGACAACACTCACTGATGCTGGAGTTTCTGTATCCCCATTCTTGTCGGTAAGCATAATAAGCTGTTTTTAGAACCCATGGATCTAAAAAAAACACTTTGAAATCCAGGATGTGATGTTATACAAATAAAATCTTGATTGGTCTGTTCGTTTCCTTCATTAATTTTAGCTTTTGTTTTATCACATTCTTGACAACAAAACCTGTTGTCTGGACATTCAGTAGGTTGACATGTTCCACATGTACACCTAAAATGCATAGATATTACTGGTTTCATTGCCGTATTGGGAGAGGGGTATTTTCTCTTTTTTAGGGATGAAATAAAGTTTTTAAAAAAATGTATGCTTGGAATTGCAAGAAATAAAATATTAACCGTTTACCAATTACTGCATGTACATGTAACAGACAGGAAAGTCTGAAAACCTGTGCAATTTGGCGATAATGGTTCATTTTGATTCATTACAACATGATATTTAATTGTTATTGCTGACTGACAGTGACCAAACTGTGATGTCACCATGCCTGGGTGCCCCCCCCCCCCTTTTGAGCATCTGTCTGAGCCTTGCTTTTTGACACAACACACAAAACCAATAGATAGTCAAGAAAATATTCCTTTTAGTCAAAGACTGGAATTCTGAATATTCCTTATACGTGTACATTTGTCAGTCAAATTAGGAATAACTACCTTGATTTGCATCTTTCTCTGCAAAATGATATTACGAAATCAATTCGTCTGATTGATGCATTGCCTTTATATTTTGCCATGTGGTTTTTATCATAGGCGATTGGTTTCAGGAGGGTGTATTTTGTGTATTGTGTTTTTTCTAGATGTGTCTGAATACTCTAACTTAAAAAACAAAAATTGCTGAAATTAGCAATTTTAAAAAAATATCATATTAGTATTATGATTTTTTGTATAAAAAATTGCCAATTTCAGTGATTTTTGTTCTTTATTTAAGAAGTAATCAGACAAACCGAAAAACCCACATACAATAATGTAATACACAAAATACACCCTCCTGAAACCAAGCGCCTAGAGTTCTTGTACATGTATGTATATGTAGGACGTATGTGTAGGTTGGTTCATAAGTATGAATTTGATGCTAAACAGGGAAAAATCTGAAGCATCTGAAATTCCTCTTAAGTTACCCCCAAAATACCAAAGGGCGTACAATGGAAAGGGGGCGGGGCAAGGGATCTGATGAATCTCGGACTAAAAAGAGCAAAGATGGTAATGCCTTGTTTTAAAATGAACTACAACATCAAGTTTATGGTATTGCTAATTTATTTGCAATAAGACGTAATTTAGACAAGCGCTTAGTCACTATAAACACAAACCATGAGAGATCATCCTCCTCTCTGAGTTGGACAGTATTCGGTCCGTCCATCCTTCCATCCATCTGTCCATCTGATATCTCTTGTCCGGAGTATATCTTCTATCTCCTTGGTCCAATCTGGCTCATACTTCACCCACAGAGTGTCTAAGGGTAAAGGGTTTGCAGTGACCTTGAACCATGTTTCTAGGTCTAAGGTTAAGGTCATAACAGAATTATATGAAAAATCCTTGTCCGGAGCTTATCTTCTCTCCTCTTGGTCCAATGTGGCTCATACTTCACTCACAGAGTGTCACTGGTCAGTGGATATGCAGTGACCTTGAAGGAAATTTCTGGATGAGGGTCAAGGTCCAAAATAGCCTCTCTGTTTAAATTCTTGTCTGGAGCATGTTTTCTCTCTCCTTGGCCCATCTGGCTCATACTTCACCCACAGAGTGCCTTTGGGTAAAGGGTGTGCAGTGACCTTGAACCATGTTTCTAGGTCTAAGGTTAAGGTCATAACAGAATTATATGAAAAATCCTTGTCCGGAGCATATCTTCTCTCCCCTTGGTCCAATGTGGCTCATACTTCACTCACAGAGTGAAACTGGTTAATGGATGTGCAATGGCCTTGAACAAAGTTTGTAGTTCAAGAGTCAAGGTCAAATATAGCCTCTCTGTTTAAAATCTTTGTTCGGTGCATAATTTCTTTTTCTTAAGTCCAGTCAGCCTCAAACTTTACCAATTGACTCAGGGTATGGAACATTTGTGATTTTCCTTCCATATTTTGATAGAGGATTTGCAACAATTTTTATAAAGAATATGCAATATTCGTGATTTTTGTGCCATTTTTTGATAGAGGGTATGGAGCACTCGTGATTTTCATGCCATTTTTTATTATAACAAGGATGACATAGTAGCCCTTTCGACTCAAACAACACATCCCATAATAGTATCAGTACACAAATGTTCCTCTTCAAAATAAACCCTTTTCAGCTACCTTACATTTTTCATGTTTGTTGCTGAAAGCGGGGCCCTTTGAGATGGCCACCATCTCAATGATATCTAGTTATAGGTCTTTATAAGATGTATGTTTAATTATGAGAACATATCCAGATAAAAGCCTGTGCAGTTCAATGAAGTAAAAAAGTGCCAGGACCCGCTCTTTAATTTTTTGAATACTTTCTTAACCACTTTTGAAGAGTTATTTCAATAGTAGTTCCTGTTTCAATAGTGGTTGCAATGAAGTGTTATTTTTGAAATGAACTCTCAATCATCATTGAATAGCTATTTCAATAGTAGTCATTATTTCAACAGTGATTACAGTGTGATATTGTCTTTGAAAAGTTCTTTCAACCACTATTGAAATAATTATGTCTCCCCTTCTCTATGTCTCCCCTTCTAAGGGGAGACATATTGTTTGTTGATTTTCTTCTTCTTCTTCATCCAAATTTTGTCCAGGCTGAAACTTAAATACCCTTTGACATTAAGACTTCAAACTTGGAATATAGATAGATGACATTAAGAAGGAGTGCACACCCCCCAAAATGTTTGACCTTGACCTATTTGTAAGGTTAAGGTCAATCTTTACATCAAAATAGAGTCCAGACCATAACTTGAGATCCCTTTGATATTAGGACTTCAAACTTGTAACAGAGAAAGAAGACATTGATACAAGATGCACTGCATCAGATTTTGACCTTGACCCCTTTCTTCCTTCAAGGTCAAATAGAGAAAAAAAACATAATTTGACCTTAACTTGAGAACCCTTTGACATTAAGATTCAAACTTGGAACATGCAGAGGTTGCATGAGGGAGGGGTGCATGTCATCATTTTTTTTTACCTTGATCAATTATTATAAGGTCAAGGTCAAGCTTTTATATCTGAATAGAGTCCAGGCCATAGCTTGAATGTCCTTTGATATTAGGACTTCAAACTTGTAACATAGAAAGAAGACATTGATACAAGATGCAACACACCAAAATTTTGACCTTGACCCCTTTCTTCCTTCAAGGTCAAATTAAGAAAAACAAGACCAGACCATAACTTAAGATCCTTTTGACATGAAGACTTGAAATTTTGTACACAGATTGAGGAATTTGAGCTGAGATGCACTGCATTATTATTTTTGACCCCAATTGTATTATTGCACTCGTTAATGTTGGTTAAGAAGGGGAGACATTTTTTTTTTATAAAAATTAGGGATGGCAACGAATATTCGAACATTCGAATATTCATTCAATGAGTTGATATTCGAATATGAATTTAAGATTCGAATATTCGGTGTTTTTCAGATTTCATAAAAAAAGTACTGTGATTGATAAATTTTGATTAGAACAGTGCTTGAATTATCCCTGTTTAATTTACTAGCGATCAAATTCGATCGCCTGATTTCTTCCATTACTTTCTTATCTTATAGATCTACTAAATTGCATGTATTTTGTTTTGAGTAAGGTGTTAAAGAATTGTACAATAATGCTTTATGTATAAAAGAAAACGTACTTTTATAGTTTTTTATTTGTAAGATACGATCGGATGTGAATCGAGGACAACAAAATGAAATCTTAGAATGTCTCAAAGGCGTGAAGAGTATAAATTAATTGATCATTGAATGAATAATTAATATTGTAAAGGGCTTAATTTCAGAATAAATGTGTAAATTACTTGATTATCTCGGGTTGTACATAATCCTGAGTATTATATTCATTATCGGGAAATTAGTTAATTAACTAGGAAAAATGTCTATGGAAATATTTGTTAACATTGTATCAAAGATTATAATCATACCTCTTATTAGGCAGATAATTGTAATTTATTAGACCTATTGAAATCTGAACAGTATACGACTATCTTGCCTTTTGTAAGACGACTCGTTCCTCAGTTGGAGCTACTATAAATACATGTTTCATTTGTTAAAATTATACTTTTCTACTTTTAAATCAATTATTTATTTCAAACATTCACAAATATCAAATGGAATTTCTTATTGTACACCTACAAAAGTTTTCATACAATTTTACTTCCAATATAAGTATTCCTATGCTAAACCTTTCCTGAGAGTAGGATGATGCATATTTGAAATAAGACGAATTTTATTAATTTTATCGAATATTCGAATATTTTCGAATACTTTCATTGAATATTCGAATATGAATTATTGACAAAATTGACATCCCTAATAAAAATCAATACCCACTAGCTACAATTTATTTCAATAGTGGTTGTTATTTCAATAGTGGGTACAATGTGGTGCTGTATTTGAAGTACACTCTCAATCACTATTTAAATCATTATTTTCTATAATGGTTGTTATTTCAAAAGTGGTTGCAACAATCCATTCCAATATTTAAAAAGAACAGGTAACATTTATCAGAAAACAAACTTTTTACCAGGAATAAACAAAGTTTGAAAAACTTACAGTGTTGTGTGTGACATTTGGGGCAAATAAACATGGCACTGAAAGGAGTTGCCTATCCTGTTGGTATATACAATGAAGCGCATTGAAGTGGTAAAATTTTTCTTTTGAATGGAAAGTTTGGGTCTTCCCTATCAAACGTCAATTTTTACAAAATGTCACGCCCATTTCTTTTAAAATGAGAAAGAAATATTCGTCGTAATGCCTTAAGATACCCCACTCTCTTTGAGTAGCAACATGAGTTACACTAAAATGGAGATTTTATGAAGTTAGGGAAGAGAGTTAATAGAGGACCCGTTTCTGTAAAACATGTATTGCAATGGATATGTGTACATAATTATGAATTTATCGTTTAATGGAGTACCACATGTTTCTATTGAACACGTGTTTACTCGGAGTTTATGTAGACTGTCAGTTTGATTGGCTATTGTATTTATAAGAATACCTGTTTCACAGGTATTGGAATGAACTATTTGACCTCTTTTTTCCTTTTTAAAGAAATGGGCGTGTCATTATCTGACGATCAACATTTTAAAGAAAGCCCAAAATGTTCCATTCAAACTGAAAATTTTACCACTTCAATGTGCCTCATTGTATGTCCCTGGTTCTATTTGATGAATTCTGACTTAGGTGACAATGAAAATATCCTTTTGATAAGATTTCTCATGCATTTGAGATAGAAATGTTTGTAGAAAAAGCAAACTTAAATAGAAACTTGACGACATAAAGAAAGTGTTTATTTCATTGATTATGTAAAAGTACCATATCTCATAATACTCAAGATATTGTCATCCATGGATCTTTTGTATCAGAAGGAGTTTATCTTAAATACAAGGCATATATTATTTAATCTGAAACATTATGCTGAGAGAAAAAAATGTTATACAATTGCCTGATAGCTTTTTTTCACAATTTAAAATATGTATTTTAAAAGTTAGTAATTAAATCAACCTTTTTTATAATAGTTACTGGTGGGATGATTGAAAAGGATGTTGAAGAAATGAAAAATATTGACTCGAATGTTGCGGCAATGGAAATGATTAAACACAGAATTGAAGGATTGGAACCAAACACACTTTACAGAGTAGTTGTTTTTGCCACAACAAGAGTTGGAGCTGGAAGAAAAACGTTTCTAGATGTTATGACAGCAGACAGAGCACGTATGTATTTAAGCATTGAATCATTATTTTTTAAAGATATAGTCTCTGAACTGCAATGGTGTGTGCAGACAAATTGAGTAACGCGCATTAGCGCATTATGAAAAGTTGTTCATGCACACCGTTGAAGTTATAAGACTATATTTAAAAAAGAAATAATGATTCAATGCTTATATTATATTTTTTTAAGTTCTTGCCTTGTCTGCAAATGTGATTTATGTTTTAAAATCCCTATATTATCCTTCAAGTAAGTTACAGTTAATGGAAGAGCCATTGCAACAGCTTCTGTTCAATGTGAGCGTGAATTTTGTGTTTCGCTTATGACATTGAATTTCCATGGCATTCAACGTTTGTGACATCAAAATAAAACACAGGCTTAACCGTTTAACCCCATGTCTGTGTTATGGTGCAGTAGCTTTCCACATATTTTATAAACAAAGTACATGTGGAATGTACATAAATATAATGATGCATTTACATGTACACTATGTTAACATTTCTCAGTGTATGTTGACTGAAAAAATGATAATTACATTTAAATATAAGATAACCCCCCCTTCTTCATTTTATTTTTGTCCCACTCCTGGTTTGACTATTTTAAAATGTTTTAAATGGAGCTATTGTAAAAATGGTAGATAACTTAGCAAATGTAGCTTTAAAGCTATTGTGCTTTATTATTCTTTCATGTTAAATACTAATATCTGATTGGTTAAGATGCATTTAACAATTCATGTTATTATACTTTCATGTTAAATACTAAAATCTAATTGGTTGAGATGCATTTAACAATCCGCAGTATTACCCTCAGAGTAAGCAACATACTTGACAATTGGAAACACAACAAAAATGTCACATGCGTGTAAATCATGCGCATACCGTTCACCATAGAATTCTCAAAAAGTCATTTGTGCTTTTGAAAGAAGCCAAAAAAAAATTGACGTCAATCAAACCTGTGTCTAATTTGGTTTAATTGAAAACAACAAAAAACAGACAAAAAATCCTTGTGAGGACAAAAATAATGAAACTTTTGATGATAAAGGACTTAATATAATATCAAACAAACAATAAAGAGGTCGGTAAATCTTTTTAGAATCTTTCTTATTGAGAAAAATGGAAGTGAGGAGTTTGAAAGCTTTCTAAATGTGAACTCATGCTTATGACGGTCGACAAATTTTTTGCTGAAATCCTAAATCAATGAGACATTCAGTAGGGTGAGTTAACCATGCATTGGACACAATTAACGTAGGACGCGGGTTTGCAGACCTTTTAAAAGTGTCCGAAAACATACCATGAAAATTAGCTATATGAATCCTCTACCTTCGTTTTACATTCTCTGAAAATTTTATAAAATTCGTCTGCATTGTTTTTGTGTAATTAATCTGGTGTCATAACATTTTCAACATTATTCTATTGAATTATATAGGGAAAACGTCATTTTTGGCTCGTTTTGAGGCAAGATTTTGTTTCAGAAAATATCAATAACTTTTAAATGGTGCAGACGAAATTGTTTCCCTTTTGGTAATTTAACACAGAAATGATTTGAAATACATCTATGTGAAAAAATTAATATGTCTTCGGGTTAGTTTTCTTGTAAATTAAATGTGGATAATTGCTTTTATATCGCAAAATGTAACATTTTTAAGGACGACGTCATAAAATATCACGACGTCACGCTTTACTTTGTGAATATCGATCCGGTATACAGTGCAGAAAAACAAGAAAAATAATTTTAAAAAGAAGAAATTCACATCTGTCTGTTTTCAAATGACCCATGAATCGTATCATAATACATTCAATTCAATACCAATGAAATGATTATTAGACAAATTTCTCTTCTTTAGTTCTTTGACATCTCACATTAGTGAAAATTCTCGCAAGGGACGCAAAACAACACCCTTTTCTTTATGTGTTGTTTTCTTGCCGTTTCTTTTCTTTTTGTTTTGTTTTCTTTTTTTCGTAGATTAGAAGTATATGTATCGTAACATTTGGCTTTGTATTTTTTTTTCAGCGTGCTGGCGAAAAGCGGCATCCTCTAAATATGAAATGTTTTATTTAGCACATTCAGCAAGGCACTCAAATCTACAATAACTTGTTAATACATGAATTTCCGCCAAATATCGGCCAGGTTAAATACAATATATTTTCAGCATACATTTAAAAAAAAATTACACACCGGAAGCTAGTTCCTATATGTTTTTCTTTTTTTTATTTTATTTTCTTTAATTAGAAATATAAAATAGTTAGTTTAAGAAGTATTTTATTCACGATATACAAAGAAGTATATACAATGAATATGGAATGAACAGCAGGCAAAAGTGGCCTATATTAGTTCTCTAGTTTTCTCTAGTTATGGAGAAATATAAAATAGTTACATATCATTCTCCATTTTTTTCACATTTTTGAAGCTAAAATGGATGAATTTTTTTTTTATTCTTTAAAAGAGCTACATTTAAACATAACGCTAATCTTATAATATTTTGAAACATTTAAATGCTTGCTACATACAACTGCTGCTTTAATGTACAAATTGTTTCTGTGGTATCATCACACGTCGTCGGCGTTTCTCCACTCTGTTCGTAAATTAAAAAAAAAAAGAGTATACCAAGAACTTAATCGTGCTTTTTCTGAAAAATCACAAATTTCTACTGGATTACTGATATATTTTTTAGTCCAATTTTTTGTTCATGAATTGTTCAATATTGTCAGCATTTTTGCAAAGCCTCGTATTTAAAATGATCGATAGAATTTATCCTCTGGTGAACAATTTTTATAGATACAGAGGCACATAATTTCAACCAAACATTAATTGACAAGTATGAAAAAAGTTATCAGACATTCTTGTGCGGCTTTTTCGCTAACCAAGGGTTTCCGGTCCTGACTCCGCCTTTATGGGGAGTGGAGTGGACCGAAAAACCTTGCATGCATGGATAGCGATAGTGAAGATGTTGAGGGGTGCAACCGCAAATTAGCTTTGTTTTCTGGTGTATAGTACATACATCCCCCAGTTTTAACGGGCCTGATGCACCTTTTTCTGTAGCACAATTAAACTCTAAAAATTCCTGTAATCTTTTTTAATAACACATAAGTGCCGCTCGCCCTGCTAAATGTTGCGATTTTAGACCTTTCATTTCTTCGTCGCAGTACTTTTACTATGTTCAAATCTCTGTGGTAAACTGGTAATAAATGCAAACTGTAACATTAATTCTTGATACAAGCACATTATATGTACCTGTATTTATACATATATTTACACTGAATTCCTTACCGATATTTCTCCATTGTTGCAAATAGCCCAAGCGATTTTTTTCACATACAGACAGAGGAGAAGTCAAAAATTAATCCTGATCTTGATTTTATGTAGTATACGTATAGGAATTTAAAAAATAAATAAATAAAACAATCGAACGAGACATTTCAAGAGGGGTAAATGGGACGAGAACCTAAAAAATAATTTTATATGACCTAATCGACAGGCAGATTTTTTTTACGATTGACTTTTCAATTTATAGAACATTACTTGTTGGACGTGGAAAGCAAAGTTGCAAATAAAATCTGTAGCTAACAGCATTGTAAGCCGTTATTTACAGGAGGTCAGTGACGCTCAAAAATTGTCTTTATCTTTCATAGTACCTTAGTAGTTTTTAATTTGTGATTAACTTGTAGGCCTAGATATGTTTTAAAAATGTCCTTCTAAAAAATTAAGTGTAAACTTTTGATGTAACAGGTGTATTTGCGATTGTTTACATAATAACTTCTTTATTAATAAAACAAACTGTTAAAATACGTTCAATGGGAAAAAATGTCAGTTTAAACGTGTCCATATTGTGATACCATTTGTAATCTCAATGTGATAACAAATCAATCGCATCTTCTCGGCCCTTTCGGCAAGCTCGGAAAACAAGCGGTTGTTTTTCGGCCTGTCGGAAAAGCCCGAGAATGAATAACCATTTTCTAATACTTCCGGTGTCGATCAAGTCTTCATTATCTGTGATAACTTAGTTTGTTCCATAAATAGTATAGCTAACACCAAATTATACGTTCCAACAAAGTAATATCTAAATATTGTATCGAATATTCAAATCGTGTAAGCCTTCATTATTTGTGATAAGTTTGTTCCTTAAAGTTTGTTCCTTAAATAATATGACACTAAACTATCAATTCCAACAAAAGTTATAGCTAACTCATGATATACCGAAGAATTCAATAAAAAAAAGTCATTGCAGATTTCTTTTTCATTATTGTGACGTCATAATCAAATGTGCACAAGAAAGTTGTCCAAATCATATAAATTGCGTACCCAGTTTTAACGACGTCAGCAAACCCGCGACCTACGTTAATACCTTGCTTCGGACAACTTTAAGCAGTAAACTTTCATTGAACCCAAGTCTCCCCGTGTTTTTACTTGTTTCTGTCTTGTTTCTGTCTTAAAGGTGAAGATTTAAACTTTTTAGTGATGCCAATTTTTATTTTCATTTGTGATAAAAATACCACAAGAATGGCCTTGAAATTATGTCATATTTTGCATCGATCATCAAAGGGGAGTGACCAGAATTTTACGATTTTGTAATTTTAAGATTTGTCATTCTTTTACATAGACTTAACGGAACGAGTCAGACCGAGGTAAAATTTGTCAAAGATTGATAATTTTAGAGAAATTTTTCAAAAATTTTACTTCAATGTTTGTTTAATATTTTTTAGAGTTGTTTTTTTACTAGTATGTTTATTTCACCATACATCAGACACAAATTAACCATGCATCGGACACTTTTCGATGCCTGGGTAATATCACTCCCATTTTCATATGAAACCCAAATGACAGCTGGTTTTTTTATGGAAATAGAAAATAAAAACTAAATTTTCATTGAAAATACAAGTTATTGATATATGATGACTAGAAATTGACTCAATTTATTTCTTTAAACTAGATGATGGTAACTTTGTCACTTAAACGCCGTGTAAATATGTTATTAAATTAAAAAAAAAATGCTTTGCAGATGTATGTA